CCTTAGGAAGGTAACGTTTCATTATTTTTACTCGTGTATTAAGCGGGCATTACTAAAAGACGAATTATATTACAGCAGAAAGTTTACTCTTTTATAATTATAAAGAACTACTGTTTAAAAGAACGTCAACAAGCCGGACGAAAGTGCAAAGGGGACGGCTATTACTGTCGTTCCAATTGAAGTGTTGCTCAAATATTGATTCAATACATTACCTCGGGCTGACCAATTCATTTCATCAAATTCCTCGAGATATTCATACACTTCCTAGTATAATTGTAAACTTCCTGTTGAATAGTTTGAATGCACCAATCACCTTTGTTGTTTCACAGGGAGCAGAGGAGTCGAGTTTATCTAGTAAAACAAGACAAACACCGTCTTACCTTGTTATTAATTGTAGTATATTTAATTGTAGATATCCCAATGTTTGCATTAAAAATGCATATTTATTCATCAAAATTATCGAATATAAACCAAAATATGAATTTCAACGTTAATATACTCCGCTGCCTTGAATTACCGTAGACTTGTATTTTCCGAAAAGCTAACGAACAATGGCCGAGATATCAACGAATAAGAAACGAAGAAAGGGAGGAAACATTGCAGATCTTTCGTCGCATGTGCACCGCAACACCCTATGACGGAAGTGAATAAAACCGGCCATTGACCAATGACGAAGCAGAACTTCATTTGACAGTTGTAATGAGTATTCGAAAAATTTGAATCAATCATGCATAAACACGAAGAAATACGTCACTTCCGTCATAGGGTGTTGCGGTGCACATCGTACGAAAATAATCGATGAATATCGGTCGTCAAATATGTAGGTTAAACGACCGTTTATTGAAATTTATTTCCTAGTGTAGTAAGAATAGATAATTTCTAGCTTGCATACAAAAAATTATGTATTTTTATGAAATATTAAGCAAGTTATAGCCATCCTAAAATATCACCCCAATGACTGTTTCCTCCCTTTCTTCGTTTCTTATTGTTTACTAAGTATAGCGAAATGTGAGCCCACGATAATCTAGAACAGCGGAGTATATTCATTTGGTGTTCATGTTACATGAAGTACGAATAAAAAATCATACAAGGCATACAATGTTTATAAATTTTATATGGTTTCACGACAATTTCAACAGGCTATAAATTGTAAAATATGCATTTTTAATGCACACATGGGGATTCTACAATGAAAGATATTACAATTAACAAGGTAAGACGGCGTTTGTATTGTTTTACTAGATAAACTCGACTCCTCTGCTCCCTGTGGTTGTTTGCGCAACTAACCAATCATAAATAGAAAGGAAGTGCCCAGAAATGATCAAATACTTGGAATTGGCTCTTTCACAGGAAGTGTATGAATATCTCGAGGAACTTGACGAAATGAATTGGTCAGCCCGAGGTAATGTATTGAATCAATATTTGAGCAACACTTCAATTGGAACGACAGTAATATCATACTAATGCAAGAAAATGAGCAGAAATGAACAATTAAAATCCCACGGGAGTTTTAGTCGTCGCCGTCGCTCTGTTTACAACGGCAAAATACAGATTAGGACAATTATTTTCAAATGGGTCCTAGAACTTTTCTCAATCATTACAGACCTGAAGCTTCGCGTTCAACGACAAACGTCAGGCATAGAAAAATTTTAGGCTATAAAGCAATAAAAAGTAAATGAGCTTGTTGTTTTATAACTAGAATGCTTAACTATTCCTGTGTCATATGAAAGAAAATATGACACGCAGAAATCGAACGAAAATTATGCCAAGAAAATTCGGCCTTGCCGTTCTCGCAAACGTGAAGCTTAAATTCCCTATTAACACCGTGTTAACATCAATCCTTAAACTGTATTATTTTTCATACGATGGATAATAGACGACAAGTTTTCTTCTATAAGTTCTTTGTACGTTTGCATGGCGATAATACATATAATAGTTTTGTTTGTGGAAACACCACGTAAATTTATTACTGCAGTAATAAATTTACGTGGTGTTTCCACAAACAAAACTATTATAAGTTTTCTTCTGTAATCATTTGGTTCAACGAGTTTGTTTACCGTCGCCGTTGTGTTTTCGTCGTACGAAGGAATACGCCAGTAAATTGGGCGTGGCACAAACTTAACTTTCCCAAATCTTAACTCTCCCATATTATTTTTTGATATAACGCTGGATATGTTAATTTATGTTTTCTTCTTTTCAAATTTAGCATCACTGCAGAAATTGTGGGTTAGTATTCTACAGTTGTATTCTTCTTGTATTCTCATTAAATTCTCAATCATATTGCATTCCCACGGCAGTTTTCTAAGAATTAAATTTTCATCAAAATTTGTTTCGTCGTAGATCAATATTCTGTGCTGAATGTACAGCCAAGACAGCGACCGTTGCAGGAACTAAAAAACCTGCGCGAGTTTGTGAACCATGTTACAAAGAGCTAAACGTTCCTGTTAGGGTGAGTATATACATTGAGAGCTTTCAAAATCATTTTAAAGTGTGACGTACCCTAAATGTAATTTTTGAAAAACTTTGGGCCTCCCGGGGAACGTCTGCCCCGGGTCCCCGCGCAAAAAGTCTGCGAATTCAGACGTCATTTCCGACGCTCATTCTTCGCAATGACGTCTGCGTTCGCAGATTACCGCGCAACAGACATTAGGATTTGTTGGCTTGGTATATCGTCAAGAATAATATTTTTCAATGATTGTTTTTCTTCTTTTTTAGTCATATTCACTTAATTCAACGAATTCTTCATGATACATGCACGCCATCAATGTAGAGAATATTTATTAATTCTTGCGTCCAGCGCTACCGTAGACTTTCGTCAAGTCGTTCGTCTTTGTTTTGAAACAACAAAAAACGAAGGACTGTGCTTCGACGCTCGATCAAACTTTGAGGCCTATCTGGGGCAAGTCCGACTGTGCGATCGCGTAATGTGTTTTTGGCGCGTGTATGAAGTGCGATGTTGATCTATCTCGCCATTTCTCACCAGCTTCGCCTTGAAATGCAGTCTGAAGTGAAGAATACAGGTTGACCCATTTTTAGATGCACTGTGGAAACTTGAATGTGCCGTATTTTTACCATCGTACAAAAACAGAAGCCTTATAAGTACATATGACACCAAATTTTCTTGGCTGAAAGAACTCTTTAAGCTGCAGTGTAACTTATTTTTCAGTTTCTTGTTTTTATGGTTTGTTCCCGAGATATTTCAATTTGTTTGATATGTCCGCTAATTTATGATGTCACTTTGGTTGCAAACTCAACTTGCACTGCCGGTTATAAATCTATCAACTCTAAAAACTGTAGATATCAGTTCACGCTTTTCTCCAGTGTTTCATCACATTTACCAGTGAGTGTAGTTTGAAATTATCATCTTGGATGATAGCTGTGATATTCAACCATTTTGAAGAGCTTGCAACCAACATGACGTCATAAATTAGCGGACATATTCACACTCATTTACATATCGAACAAATTGAAATATCTCGGGAACAAACCATAAAAACAAGAAACTGAAAAATAAGTTACACTAGGGCTTACAGAGTTCTTTCATTCAAGAAAATAAGAAATTTCATGTCATATGCACTTTAATTAATTAAACATGTATATCAAACTCGAACAATTTTAGAGTAGAATGAAATGTAATTAGAAATAATTTATGTTTTCCACATTTTTACATACGTCGACTAACATAGATAATGAGTCATATTGATGGTTATTCTAATGAGTTTCCAAACCAACACGAGTACATCTTGTTGATAAGCTGTGAGGTTTGTGTTTGTGTTGTTGTCTCTGGGATAAGCTGAAAAGTTTGCTTGACGCAATGACCGCGATGGGAGTCGAAATTTTCGTGCGTTTTGTGAAACAGATTTTTTGGATATGCAGCCTTACATTATACTGTAGATTATGTACTATTTAAAGCACGCGTAGGAGTGTTTTATCACATATAAAACACGACGCGTAGCGGAGTGTTTTATATGTGATAAAACACGACTACAAGTGCTTTAAATAGCTTAAAAAACGACTCATCTTATACGAGTTCATTGGCGAAGAAATTTTTAAAATAAACTTTGTCTAAACCGAGAAAATCAAAGCTAAAGTTTATGTAAATTAACGTGATTTTTTATCACATATAAACCACGACACGCTTATGATTTTTCTTTGTGTTTTGCTTCTGAATTATTAATGAGTTTTTTAAGTTTATGTAAATACCACAACTCGATCTCTATCTTGTTTAACCTAGCCTTCCAACAACTCAACTCTGTAGGGGCTGGAATAGGGGCTATCATTCGCAATTTTTAGCATTTTTGAAAAGACATTGAATCATTTGATGATAAAAAATATGACATAAGATTCACAAAGCGAATTTCAGTTACTAGAATATCAAACCTCCCTTCTATAAAATTCTATTTTTCTTCCAATGTTTTGCTTATATTTTAGAGAAAAGGGACTTTGATGGGGCAAGATGGTTGAGTCACCATGGGGGCTAGAGGGGCTTTGCCCTCTTCCCCTACCCCCAGTCATAGTTAAAAAAGGCCCTGTCGCCTAGAAAGGCCTGAGTTTCGAAATATCTCGAACCGACCTGACCTCGTAGTCGAGCATTGGACTAGGTCGCTGGTTCGATTCCCACCGTGGTAAAGCAAACTTTGCGGGTTAGCACTATTTTCCATCCAGCAAACTGACCTGACGTCATTTTCGGAAGATGGAAGCGGGGCTATGTAACTAACCCATAGAACTAACCCAAACCTTACCCCTACTCTAACCCAAACCTTACCCCTACTCTAACCCTAACCGCGACTCTAACCCTAACCAAATTAATAAAAAAAAATCCAAAAAGAAACCACTTTAGAAAATCGATAGGGCGGTCATGTAGAGCGGTTTGCTGGATGGAAAATAGTGCTAACCACGGCATTGACGACTTTGCACATGACAAACATGTGCATTGTTAGATGCAAGAGACGGTGAAATAGGAAATTTTTCTCGGCGAGGAAGGAAAATATTTTATCCCAAGTGGAAGATTCCGGATGCTTGCAATGCATCATGGTAATGTGTTTTGGAGAAGAACTTCCAATTTACTTTTGAAATTAAGTTGAGAAATTTCAGGAAAAAATAGTTTTAAAATGAGTGGCGGGCTACCTAGGAGAATTGTCAAGGTAAGAAAACAATAAATAAACTCTCGAATATCTGTAGTTTAAGTCTGGTGAAGCACAGGGCTTTTGTGTTAATGTAACGCCGTGTTTTGTTTGTTTGAACTGCAGGAAACACAGAGACTGCTTGCGGAACCTGTTCCAGGGATAAAAGCAACACCTCACGAAGAGAACGCTCGGTATTTTGATGTTTTTGTCGATGGCCCCAAAGAGGTTGGTCTAATGTTTGTGTATGCGTGATGCAACGTCCGGAAGTGTTAAAAATTCACAGCAGATATGATATTAAATGAAGCTATCAATGGATTTAATTGTCTAAAGTTTGTTTTGTGGATTCTTGCCGTCATTTTCATCCAGTGTGAACAGTTACAGACAAAAATATTGTAGTGAAATTTTCGTGTTTGTCAAAAGCAGTTGACAGGTTATAGGGGGGGGAGGTTTGTATATGAGCTGTGGTTGGCCTGAACTGCCCTGTAAAGATGCCCATTTAGGGTGGGTACACATGCTGCTCATCCAATTTTCAAAATAAGTAGTCGCTGCATCAAAACGCTACTATGTCACTTTCGGAATTTTGTTTTCTATGTCGCTGCCGTAATTTGGACAGAGTTTTTCTGTCCATTGTCGCTGTTTTCGTGTAGCCATTTCAAGGCAATGTCAGCTGTTGGAATTTAGCCTAATAGGCCTTGGTAAACCAGGCTGGCTTTCTTTGATAGGTCAGTTTAGTATTTCTGCTTCACGTGAATGAGGCGAGCTAGCTGACAGGCAAGAAATTCTTGCACGATTTGAAACGAATGCATTAAAATCGTCAAAAATAATTGACAATTTTTCCTTGCCACAGAGTTTCTTGTTTCAAAGCTAGTCAGGCCAGCTTTTGGACAAGGAAAATTTGTTCGTGTGTATGACCGCCAAGGAAAACTTGTACAAAAAATACTTTTATGATTTTGGCGAACAAAAGGCGGACTTGACGTGAGATAAATGTTGACAACATTCTGTGCCATGGGTGGATTTACTTGGGAGGTTAGGGGGTTAACCCCCCTCCCCTAGAATCTCTCTAACCCAGACCTTCCAAGTCTCATTTTTTATGCTTTCTCAC